CAAGAGACTCAAGTGCCTGGCACAATTGTGATTCAGAGGGAAGTGGGGTTGATGAATGCCTGTGTCTTCACAGTGACAATGTCCAAGTCTTTGAAAAATACAAAATGGATTCTGAGAGAATTCCATCATCGGAGAGGAAACTCAAATCCAAGACCTGAAACAATCTACAGCATTGAGAAAAGTCAGGGATCCAAGTCAGGATTAGTACCTGGAGCAGATAGTATTGGTCCTGTCAACAAGATTGTCTCATCCCTCAAGTGTTCAATAACTTTAGGGCGCCTCCTGAGTAGGAGATGAAAATACTATTCTATTATGAAATCTCTTCAAATAAACTGCCTATATGAAAAGGTCACCTACTTTGAATCTGTTGAAATAAGAGAGTCATAATATTTATTTCATCAAGAGGGTGTGAGGCTTAGCCAGGATTAATTTATTTCATTACTCTTTCTAGGGCACTTCAAAATTTATATAATGCCATATGTGGTTTGTAGGAACAGACTTCATGAGGATTTGATGAAAAATACTCTGGATGTTTCATCAGGTTTTGCATCATTTTCAAACATAACCACCTACGCTCTAACTTTCTGAGTCACAGGGAACCTGGCACTTCAAAAACTTCCCAAATGCTAGCCTTGCCCAATTCACTACGTATATCACTGCCTCTTTAATCATTCCAGAACAATTTTTCAGTGGTAGGGCTTTCTATTGTCTCTACATTTACTAATTATGCTCTTGTCGAATACACCACCCTCATGGTTGTCTTTCCAAGTAAACTGAGTACTGAGAGGATAATTGGCTACCTTTTTTCATTCTTTGATTCTAGCATCTTGTACAGTAATGAGCAGACATGGGCTGATTCAATAAAGACTAGTCAAACAAATGCTGGGAGGAACTCTCTGTTGAGTTACTGAGCAGAACCCAGCCCATGCCACCAGCTTTGATTACTTTCCTACTGTTCATGCGTGCTGGGCATCACCCTAACGTCTCCCCTTTCTGCCTACCCTCCGTTATCCGTTATTTAAAGAACAGGCTCTCAACCTTGGTAGTACATTAGAATCACCTGGGGGAGTTTTACCCACGAGATGGATGCTGACGCTTATGTGTGCTCTCCTGTTGCCCCTTCCCAGGAAGAAATTTTGCCTTAGTTAATCAATGTAGAGCTCTAGCATTGCTATCTTATAAAAGCTCTCGTGTTGAAGCTGCAGGGTAGTTGGGCTTGAGAACTACTGGTTGGAACTCTCAGGTCCCATCCTCTCCTGGTGTCTTCTTGGGATGCCCCTGATGATTTCACCTTCCTTTAGATTCCCAGCTAGCCATCCATGCAAGAATTAGCCAGATGCTGCCTTGTGGTGGTGCTTCAATAGCCCTTACTCTGGACTCCCCCTTGATTATTCATGAGTGCATCCAGGTGCAGAGATAAAATCTTCCATCTTTGACCAGAAGGCACTCAAGATCAGAAAGAACTCTACCTTCTCTTCTTTGGCATCTCTACGCCATTCACACGGTGAGCTCACACATATTTTTGGATTATTTAAAATGATAAGGACAAGAGTAAACCTAGCAGAGGCCACTTTAATTGTCCTCTAAAGACGTGTCTTCAGTTAAGAGAAAAATATTGCAAAATGGGTAGAGCAGAATTGAAGCAGCACAGGGAAGGACCGAATAAAAACTGAGTGGAAGAGAAGCCTGAATTAGTTCAAAAGAAAACATACCCCAGCTTCTTAAGAATGTTTTTTGCAAACACTGAAGCAGAATAAACAAGAGATTGAACTTGGCTTGTACCCTGATAAGGAGATTTCTTTCTTAGTTATATAATTTTACAAAGTTTCCAGGGTGTAAAGAAGATAATCAGCCAAGAGGGACTCCATCCTGTGCTCAATAGAATTTAACTCTTGGGCTCCTCAGCTTGACCTGACCTCTTTCTGGCCCTGTGATCTCAGACTAAGCCTTATATTCAAGAGCCCTGGTGCAGGATAAAACATAATCCTCATTCCATAAGCTTGATGCCTTGGTAGAGTGGTCTCTGTTTGCAGACTGAAAACAAAACAAAAACCATACCTGCTCTACCTTCAAGTTAGTGTCTCAGAGGTATGGTTAGCCAACACGGCCTCACACCCTCTCCTGCTGAGAATTACCATGAGAAAGTATTTCTAGATTAACTTTAAAGGATTGTTTTGTTATCCATATCGCCAAAAAGCCTTATCTTGATATGGCTTCACTACTTTGTCATGAACTAAGACCACAGGAAAGACTGGATGAGTCACCAGGTCCACTATCTGCTAAGGCAAGATAAGGTCATCAGATTGAGACATGTTTTCTATATTGACCATTATCCGAGGCCACAAATTTAACAGCTTCCTTCGAAAGGGATATTAAATGCATGTTCTCTCATCTGGGTTGGTAGTCTGATCATGTTTTTATTAATTGTTCATTGTTGTGTGAAAACAAAACTTGAAGGCATTCAAGTCTGCTGCTGATTGGTTAGTAACCAGGGCAACACGTTTTCCTTTGTAGATCATACCAATGACCCATCTAATGGGATATGAGTTTATAGACTGTCTGATCCGTCCACACTTTGTTCTGTTGCTTCTTGTGATCAGTGGCCTGTATTTGACCCTATCAGCTGAGAGCCACACAAATCCTCAAGTCACCAAAGATTAAAAAAAATATAGCATTCGTTCTATCAGACACTTCCTGTTGGCTCTGAAAATGGACATGGATGAACGTGTTATCATAAAGAGACCAGAATATGAGTTTTTTACTTTATTTATATATAAATTCCATCTAGCATTAGAAGAATAGAATCTGGAAGCCTGGATTCCATGATACTGTATGTGAGAGATCACAGAATTGCTATGTTACAGGAAAAAAGCCATCTCAAATCAAAGGCAGAGATACTATGTAGGTTTTCAAGAAGTAGGGCTTAGGGTTCTTGACGGGAAAGAGTCAGTACTGATGTTGGGAACACAAAGGTCCCTGTACTCACAGATAAACACCAAGGAAACCAGGAATGTTAAACACACAGGCTTGTCTCTTCAATGAAAGGGATTTATACCTGTTCTGTACACCAGAAGGTGGATATATATATATATATATATATAGTTAATAACCTGGTGACCTTTGCTATCTGAAGGGCCAGGCCTCACCCAAATCCCCCATAATGTTTTATCCCCAGACCCTTCTGCCTTAAACCTTTATCTTCAGCTTTGTTTCTTAATCAATAGAATCCATCCTTACGGGAGACATCACATGTACTTTATAGCCTGGTGACCTCTACACTATCTCTATGACCAAGAACACACCCGATCCTAGGTCCTTAAGCAAAAGAATCCATATTTATGGAAGACGTCACATATACCTTGCAAAAGAGTTTTGATATGGTCATGCCTCAAGCTTTATTGTGCACACGAGACTGAGACAACTGTTACCAGGAAACTTATTTCCAGAGTTGTACTGAACTTAAATATGTCTAAAATAAACTGCTTGGGGTCAGACTCCAGTAGTTTGAACCAGCACCAGCTAACTAAGTCATGTTGAACTGGGTTCCTTCTTGCCTCACTCTGCCCACACGGGTGGTTTCAGAGAGTCTCACACACACCGATTCACAAAGAACATTGCTATTTTCAGTGTTATCTCTGAGAGCTAAAAACAAAAACAAACAAACAAACAAAAAACAAGCTTATTTATCAACATTCACCACCTAAGGGACACACCAACGGCCATTAGGTTCTCCAGAAATCTTTTGAATGTATTCCACCGAGAAAAGTATTGGACTCAGAACCCAGGAGACTGGAACCATCAGTGAAAGGGTGTCTCTGCAGTAAGAGATGTGGTGGGGCCTGAAAACACAAGAATGTTTCCTTGGATGGAACTAACCTGCTCTATCTTTTCAGAACAAGGCTGACCCAGTGACCAGGCTGGAATGTTATTTACACAGGCCCAAGAAAACCAAGAAGAATCCTCTGGTCTGTAACCAAGGACATCCGTAAAGTTGTCTGGAAGAGGCGAATGCTCATGTCTGTATTAGATGATTCCTGCCTCTTTGTTATAATGAGTCAATTTATCTTCTAGCAAAAGCAACTCCATCCTGCTCTATCTTTCCTAGTTCCTACTAGTACCACCCCCTTCTTTATTAACCTGGGTTCACTGTGTATTTAGTCAGCCAACCTGGCATCTGAATTGTGCCCCGTTGAAAACATCAGGGTATACGCTTCGTCCTTTCCCTTTGCTGGCTTTCGTGAGAGATGCTAATTCAATAGAGTAATTGAGGTAAGGTATCAGGAGATTTAAACCTCCTGATTTTTAAAGAGATCATGCTATAGGGTTACTTTCTCTGGAGTTGGGAGAGAAGATTAAGGAGAGGGAGACAAGTATTCCTTTCCAAATGGAGGGATCCACCCTTGAGACCAGAAATCTAAACAGGGGGCTCTGTGAACGTTATCATCCTTTCAGAGGACCCTCTGATATCATTTAGTATGTTAAACCACTAGCATATGTGGCAACATAAAAGTACCCAGAATCTGGGCTTATGCACTTGGCAGAAGCTGACTATCTTAAGCTCTCAACACACACACACACACACACACACACACACACACACACACACACACGCACGTGCGCGCGCGAGGGCTAAGAAAAAGCAAGACAGCTGTTTGCTGTGCTCACAAATATGTAATGAAATAATCATTTAGAGATGAAGGATTTAAAATCTCTCCAAGTATGGTCCCCAGTCATTCACGAATGTTAAGGAAATGTGAACTCTGCAGGACCCACTCTTACACAGCTTTCTTGTATGTACCTAGCTCCTCCCCACTCCACCTACCCTCCCCTTGTTCATTTTGGTTGCTGTTAGGACAAGAAATGTTTCTTTATGATCTCCTTGCCAGTCAGTACTGGCCCAGGACAGATACGGTGGCAAACACCTTCAGATGCTCTGACTTCTAGTTCATCTTTCTCTCTGACCTTCATGCATGAAGAATTCTGTGGGCACACTCACTCACCTGCCTTCTCTCTGAATCGAGGTACTGGAGAATCAGCCGAGTGTTCACACAGTGACCCCATGAGTTTCCTAGCGCAGCTACCACACAGCTGGATCCAGAAGTACCTGAAAGAAGACAGAGGAAAAGCCAGTTTTCAGAGACCTTCCTTATATGGCATTTGACCTAAGCTCGGGCATCATTTCATACTCAGAGAGTACTCAAGACTCAGTCCATCACCGCAAAAGTGAATGAATTAGAGGAGGCTGGCATTAAGGGACTGGAGATTTAAATAAAACCAGCACGGGGTCCTTCAGGCCTTAGCAAAAGTGACCACCAATGGGCAAACAAAACATGAACAGGAAGATGCATGATGTGTAACTAAGCTACTGCAGATAAAGATCCACACCTCTCCCCTCCCTGGCAGAAGGGCACAGCGTCAGGAGCGGTCCGTGCTTAGCTGAACTAGGAGATCTTCGTTTAGACTGGTAACCGTCTTAATTCTCTTCCCCATTTCCATGGCATATACACATAACATTCCTTTGCCCTCCCTCCCGCTATGTACATCCATATCCAAAGCAGAATCTGGAAGAGCTCAGCCTTTCGCATTCAGTCTGCTTTAGCTTGCTCTGTTTCAAGAGGAGCATTCCTTTACCTTCTAAGACTTGCCTGTAAGGAGGATCTGAACTGGCCTTCATCTGAATTCCTAGCTTAACTGCTCCAAATTGCATGGGGGCAGCTATCATATCTGCAAAGCTTCCCCGATCCCTTTTGACACAACCAGGAAGAAAACCATCCCTGCTTTCAACCTGCTTCTTTCTGTTTAGAGGTGAGCTGCCAAGCACTGCATCAAGGAATCTAGCTCCCTGTAATCATGTCTGACACATCCTGAGGTTTCCTTTCTTGTGCCCTCTTTGACTCCAGGCCATGATGAGGATACTGGCTTGAGGGAGCCCCATTGAGCACTTTGTCTTCCCATCATCGAGATGCCATCTCTTTTCAGTGAGGAGACTGAAAACATAGATGTTCACTAAATTACCTGAAAGAGAATGAGGCATCATTTGTAGCCGCCTCGTGGCACCATCTCATTGTGCCCCCCCACCCCACCCCGCCATGGTCAAGTAGTAACTGGTCATCTTTTCCAGGACAAACAAACTTTAAGGAGTACCAGCTCCACCTGGCCTTAAGTTCTTGGATATAAATGCCACAGCAGTGAGATGTTGGCTAATGTCTTCTGGGAGGACTGCTGACACCCAGGAGGTAGAGACCAGTGTTGTTGCTGAACATCCTGTAGTGTACAGAGCAGGACTATGACAAAGCTCTACTCCCCTCACAATATAACAGTTCTGGAAACCCAAAGTTACCCAATGAATGAATTAAATGGAAATCAATAACATGGGCTTCAGCAAGGAGATTTAAAGAATTTAGCACAGCATAGAAAAGAGTAAAATTTAGAGTAACCCTGGTTCACTGTATATACAATCCAAAACACGAACAGATGAAGGTGAAAATAAATAACACGGCCTGTGGGAATCCGATTACCTCAACCCCCTGATTTAATCCTCAGTAGCCCTCCCAAGTCTGAGGATAAAATGTTAATGCCTAAACAATATATTCTGTGGTCTTTATCTCCTGGCCCTGCCTCTCCCTCTGACTTCACCTCTCTGAGCTCCCTCACTGAATGGCTTATTGTGACCTTTTCGCTTTTCTGTTCTCATCATCCTTGACCTCTTGTCAGCAGTTGATAAAGCTTCCCCCCCCCCCTCCTGGCCAGAGAGTCCCCTGGCCTTCTCTGTTGACTTTACCATGGAGAGCACTTCTTCGCCCTTTCTGCCTTTCATCTCCCTCTTCTCAGTTTGGGCAGACCCCAGGGAATTAGGCATAACCAGTTTTGTTTTCCCACTATCTAATACCAAATGCTGAAGAGCTGTTGAGTGGCTATGAAATTAATGTTCATTAGTAAGAGGTCCAGTCTTTATTACTTCAGAGATGAACTCAAGTCCAGTTTTCTTCAGATGCACAACCTCTCAATCTCCCTTCCACTGTCCACGCCTCCTTCAGTGGTGTAAGCTCTTTGTTCATGGTACTGGGTTATATAAGGATATTTTCCTACAAGTATATAATGTACTTCGAGTACATTCTCGCATACCTCTTTACCTTTGTCTTTCTCTCTTCTCTTTATTTACTCATCTTTGTTTTACTGTTTCCTTCCTATATTTATGCCATATGATTTATGGATCTCTATAAAATCTACCATGAGTAAGAGGGAAAAAGTGCAATATTTGCCTTTTGGGGACTTAATATGAATATCTCAAATTGCATCCACTTTACTGAGAATATCTCAAATTGCATCCATTTTACTGAAAATGATACAACTATTTTTTTCTTCATGGCTGAAAAAAATCCATGTGTCTATATATACCATGTTTTCTTTACCCATCCCTCTGTTAATGATTCAATATTTTAGCTATTCTTTTTAGGTGTATGAGTGTTTTGTCTGCATGTATGTATGTGCACCATATGTGTGCATGGTGCCCACTGAGGCCAGAAGAGGGTGTCAGGTCCCCTGTAACTGGAGTTATGAACAGTTTTGAGTCACCAAGTAGGTACTGGGAACTGAACCCAGGCCCTCTATAAGAGCAGTAAATGTTCTTAACTGCCATTGTCTTTCTATCCCCTCTTTTGCTTTTTAAAAAGAGAAACCAACAATAAACGTTTTGAGTCAATTTTCCTGATTTTGGGCTGACTTGGGCTGAGGCTATAGCTTAGCGGTGAATGCTTGCTTAGCATATACACAGCCTGGATTCAATTCCACAGCACCACATATAAAATTTGGCTTAATAGTTAAATAATTAAGGTTTGTTTTTGTTTTGTTTTTTTCAAGGCAGTTTCTTTGTGTAGACCTAGCTATTCTGAAACTAGCTCTGTAGACTAGGCTGGCTTTGAATTTATAGAGAACCTCCTGCCTCTATCTCCAAGTGCTGGGACTGAAGGCATGTGTCACCACTGCCTGGCTGCCCATCAAATTCTTCTATCTGCCTGAATGGTATGGCCTCATGCCTAAAATCTACCCTGTGTCCAGAGGTGCCTCTCCAATGCCAGTTTCTCTTATCATTATAGAAATATTGTCTTTCTCACTTAAAGTTCCATAATACTTTTGAAATTTCTCTCATTTACCTTCATTTTCTATTGTGGTATATTATTTGAGTGATTTTTGCATAACACACATTATAAAAGAGCCAGAGGCATGTCTGGTTTGTGCCAGCAGGCCTGAATCACTCAACACAAGGATGCTTATGCTGATTAAATGACTAATAAGTTATTTCCACTCAGTGCTGAACCATGTTATAGACTTGTTTTAACAGCATATTTACATTCTTAATTCTACCTTAAGCTAAAATTAATAGGTTTGCATTTTTTCAAGCAAACTGTAGACGCTAACTGTTTATATGTCTCCTAAGTGAGAGAATTAAGTGAGGCTGAGCTTTACAGTTTGCCAAGAAAAGGCTACATGTGAATAATTAGGAGTTACTAATTGGTTAAGAACTTGAAGCTTTTTTTTTTTTTTTTTTTTTTTTTTGGTGGTGATAAAAACTGGAGGAGCGTATCAGTTCTAAAGGAAGGCAAAGGATGTTTTTAGAGATCAGAGCCACATTCAGGGCAGGAGCAACTATTTTTAAAAGTAAATAATAAGCAAATGATTAAAAGCAAATAAAGCAAACAAAAATTTTATAGCAGTAGGCCAACAAGAATGGGATGGGTTGGTTGTAGAGATCTGGCTGTTCTTTGGTCAGGTAAACTTGGGTCCTAATCAAGGTCCACAAGGGCGAGTGACAAAGAAAAGCTTCCAGGGAAAACTCTGAACAAATGACCTTGAGGAGTCATGTTCCGGAAGCACTTATAAGCATCAGGCCAGTGTTAAGAGTAACTCCAGCAAAGCCTTGAAAGTTAATGATGATGAAGACGGTGCTGTCAGAGGCACTATAAGTTAGGCACTAAGCAAGCCCTCAAATGGAGGGGCTCACGGTGCTTGAATTTCATATTTCAGTGCACCTTTTTTGGATGCCTACAATAGCCTATGAGGTAGGCAACATTATTAGTTCTATTGACAGACTTAAGCTACGAGAGCTAAATCATTTCCTCAAAGTCACATGATTGGTTAATGGCAGAGCAAGGGTTCAAAACTAGGCTGTTAACCTCTACTTCGATTACACTTCTCTGGGCTCATCATATCTTGAAGATCAAGTATCCTGTTATTCTGTGGACAGGGGCTGAGAAGGGGCCTGGATTGCCCAAAGGCCTATTTCAGGAACAGCCCTGACAAGCCATCTTATCACCCATCTGAAACTCTGCATGTCACTCAGGCTCCACATTCAGCTTCCTTTGTTCTGATGTTCAGTGATAACCCAGGGCAATAGGTCTCCTTAAAGACAGCACATGCCCTGGCTTGGCAAGTTACTTAACCTTGCTCAACTGGCCTAGCAGCTGGATTCACACAAGTCAGGTGGCCTACAGTTGACCCTCCCTGGTTAGAGGCTTAAAACTATGGTCAGGAGAAGAAAAACAGTTCACTTCATGGGAGAACTGGAGGTGACCCTGGTGGTGGAATCACTTGAGACATATTGATGGGAAGCTGCTGGCTACTTTCATGGCCTCATTTTCTGTCGGAGAACTTGGTGGTCTCTTCTGTCTTTCCAGTTTCTAGCATTTCCATGAGAGGGCTGGCATAAGTGATCATTAATGCTGTTTATGGGAAATCCAAAATAGGAAATAGTATGCTTACTGGTTCTTTGCAAAAGGTGATTTCCTGCCCAGTGACCTAATTGGTCAGGAAACTGGTAAGCGGGTCTTCTCTATGCTCATTTTAAGCGGAAGTTCTGAAAACTGGGGCATGCTCCCTTCCTTCCATTTTTGAACAACTGTGATATTTAGACCCTGCCAAGGCTGTATGACTTCATTGTCTGGAATTTGGTGGATTCTAATACAAATAAAAAAAAAGTTAAATAAATGAACTGGGATTTGAAAATATTTTCATTATTGGGGACTTTTCAGCATCACACGGTTGAGCCTGCAGAAGCATTTAAATAAGGTCCCTAGAACAGCCTAATTCATTCCCACCAAATCAAGG